CACACGTACCTATGTGTGTGTTTATTATATATATATATATATATCACTAGTGACAAGTTTCAGTAGGTCAATATCGGTTAGCGCGTAACAAGTGTGCGCGGGTAGCCACCGCGTTCGGATTACGACGACAAATCTCAGATAATTTGTACGTTTTATGTGGCCAYGCGAAACAACTTCTTACCACTTTCCTTCGAACACTGAGACAATACAATAGCGACCGAATGTTTACGGTTTTTAATAGGTTCCAATCGTTTCCGCAAAAAAAATAAAAAAAATAATATTTTAACCGGGTTTTCATCTAAATTTAAACCAATACTATAATACATTATTAAGACAAAAGTTTTCAATAAACATTGTTCGACAAACAACTTAAATATTACGTAATTTGCATAATATTTTCTTGTATGAATTAAAACGAATCAATTGTTTTTTTCACATACCTACCGATGAGGTGATGTCACGTGGTTGTGGTTTGTTTTCAAAATTATTGTTATTCGCGATAATGTCTGCATACATCTATATGGTATTATTTTTTTTTTACTGATATTCAGTGATTATTTTGAAAAAATTCAAAGTACCTTTTTTAAATTTGACAGAAATCATAAGTCGAATAAACGAAAATGGTTCTTTTTATTAYTAAAGATATCTTATTAAGATCTTACAATACATAGTATGTTGTAATTTATTATAATTCAGTGATTTTCTTTTACTGAACTGAACAATTTACGTTGTATGCAAATTTATAAAGCAGATTTTCACACACTTTTAACTCGTACTTATCGTACACTTGATGTAACACGAAAGCGTGTAACGTTTTAAAAACAATAATACGAAATATCTATGGTGATACTTATTATTATTGGTGTATATAGCGTGATTTCCAATTACAATAATTACTGATAATATTCTTTGATATTCTAAATACATAGAGTAGGAAATTGCATTGACATATACTTCGATAAGTCTCATCAGATTTATGACGTGGATAAATTTAATAACTCTGTTTACACTATATATAATATACTAGTACATTCTAATATACCTGCTATATTTATATAACATTTTTAATACACATTAAGTGAATATAGGTTAGGTGCATACAAATTCCTTTTTAATTTACATTACGTTGGTGTGCATTAATTGTTTAATTATATTGATAAAATCGAACCAACTCCAGGATTCGAATATGCATATTAATACAATTTGCTATTTATTTTTTTATTATGAATAAGAATGTACAATTTAAATTTTTGTTTTTATAGCAGTAAGATTGTCAGGTAGATTGAACCATTGAAGAGAATTTTATATTTTTGAAGGTAATCAATAAGACAAAGATAGATAAGTCGATTATTAAGTGAGACTAGAGGCTATAWTTTTAAGTGAAGTAAACAAGTTGATGTCTGCAATGTGAATGCAAACATTTCTTATGCCTTGGCCATATGATGACGATTATTTGTTAGAGAAAAGTTTGACACCACACATTACCTGTTGAAAACGATCGTATAGTACTATAGTGGATGAACTTTATAACTGAGCAAATTTTAAAATCTAAAATTTATTATAAAAATGATATTAAAAAAAATAAATATTGAGCCTGGACTACTAACCAGTAAAATTAACATRTAAAATCTCTGCCTTTAAAAATTCAAAAAATAACTCATTAAAGACTGGATTTTAATTTTCTGCCAACCAAAATTAATGAATTATCTGTCTCGGACATACTGATGATGTTTTATAGCATGCCCAAGGGAAAACCCGCAAATGCCAGACATGAATGCAAATTACTTGTTTTTTTAAAAATATTTTGTTAATATTATTCAAATCATAAAAATAATCAGAYGTATTAAATTAAGTTTTTAAAATCATACAAATAGTAATGTAAAACATTATTTATTTTAGTCATAGTATCTTTTAAAAAACATTTTCTTTGAAAGTTATTATAGATTAAATATTTACTACCATTGTAAATACCTAATATATTATATTTTATAATATTATGCAGTGCGTGATCCATCTACTTATTTTGTTTATTTGTATAATAATGGGGCATGATGTGTTATTATATTTGGGTTTTTCAATTCCCAGTGATGTTATAACAATAATAATATGCGTTGACTTCCCATTGGAAAAAAAAACCACCATTCTGACTGTAAATAATTTTATGCACCGTACAATATATTAAGTTGGTGTACGTATTATATTATTATTTGTATACCGGAATAGAAAACCAAATGCACCTATTGAAAATTGCTGAAGGCATGCCGTACGTTTGATTTATTTCAGATAATGTCCGGCAACACGGATACCTCGACCGTGGTCTTGCACCATCTGCTTCCGCCCGTCTACGCTTCGCAAGTACGCATATTGCCGTACAGCGTTCACCGTCGCACCGTTTGCCTGAGGGCAGAGATCAGAGGATGCCCGTCCGACCGTGAGTAATAATCGTAGACTTCTATTATATCAACGACGGCGCAGTCGTATAATAATAGTATATAGTGCGACTGTATAGTACATCTCGGAATGTGTTTGTATATATGTACTCGTATGTATACGTATGAGTGTACGTATATGTATATAATATGTATAGATTGAGACTTCTCCGGCGCAAACAACATATTGTGTACATATATATATATATGTATATACACACACATATATATATATGTGTGTGTGTGTGTGTTTATATAAAGGGGCACAGCTTCGTACATTCAAATCGATATCATCGAAATCAAAATCATGAGGGAGTATATATACGTACAAGTGTATTTGGTATATTATAAGAACATATCGTAGTGTTCTGCCTTCGCGTATAAAACCAAAAAAATATATTATTTAATAAGAATCCTAGATGAATTGTTTTATATCAGTAGTTGTATGTACTCACACRCACTTAGTATTGGCGTAATACTATTGTCATTTAAATAATAATATTATCATTAACATAAGATGATTTGATTACCATTCGTCTAATCATTATAAAATTTGATTCAGGTTGGTTTATAGTAAATCATCGATTGCGCGAGATGAAAAAAACGTGATTTACGTCGATCATCACGGACGGGTGATTGTTAATAATTTTATCGCACTTATTGAAAACAGCACTATTGTAAAATAGACTACAAAGACATTTGTTGTATGTGCGCTGAAATTCCAAATGACGACCGATATCGCAGATAATTGTTTGTGATTTTAAAATAATAATTATTATTATTATTTCCACCGTTAATAATCCGCTCAAAAACGTAATTACGAGACACTACCTATCGTAAATGACGTTGTCGAACGGTGAAGGCACGCACAAACTCATACGCAATGACACACAACTCACACAACAAAATYATCACAATGTGATAATCATTATCGTGCGCGCGAAACGTTCGTCAGTCAAATTACTCCACGTTCACCGCGTCACTATAATATAACGAAGAAGTCGTTGTTGATTCAAACGATCCAGGTCACAGAGATATGACGCTGTAAAATGTTTGTGTGTGTGTGTGTGTGTGTGTGTTACGTTCAAATACTTAGGTACCATTCTTCGCGAAACTCGTGGAATAAACAAATAGGTAGGTGCCTTGATGAAACGCGTGGTCTAATTAACGGGTAACGTCCCGGTGTTAGTGCACAAAGATATAAGTGAATTAAGTGATAGGATTGAGTAGAATTAAATTACCTTCTTAAATTATAAATTCAGTGCACAATTGTCGGTCGTCAGACTTTAACAGTACGCGCACAATTATACGATATTCTGACGATTGAAATGTATTGAAACGATATGCCATCATCGTTTATCGTATAATTCACACTTATTATATCATACTTAACATTGGTCTAATACTCTGATTCATTCGGGGAAAGGTTTTTTTTAAGTTTGTAAGGGAAATGGTTCCCGTTAAAAATTACTGGGCCAGGGACCCATTCATGAACCAAACCGACACTGATCATACAGCACTATTGTATAAATGTCATAATTTATGGCTATGAATCAATATATAAAATTGTTATGCTTTAATATTAATATTCTTTAATAATTATTTAAAATGGCATATTATAAGGATTCGAGTAGTGCATGTGTATTTAAATCCAATTTATCCAGTAATATTTGTACAAACTAAATAGCTATATAGGTATTTTTTTCAAATGTACATCAATACGTCAATATAACAATATTATTATCACTGATACTTGTRTAATAATTAATTCAAATTCAAATTCAAAATCGATTATTAATTACATATAAATTGTAATTAACCAAATTATTCGAATATTTAAAATAAGTATTACTCAAGAGTCTCACGTGCACAAAAATCAATAAAATTGTTATTTATCATTATCACCCTTTAACGAGCACATAATRTGTATATAAAAAATTAAACATTATGGTCGTTCTGATTTTAATACCATTGATATGGATATGAACTCAAATGTCGAAAATGATTTTATAAAATCTGTTAGACATTTTAAAAACAAACGATTATTGATCAATAAATAATCATATTTTCTCTGATTTATACTATATAGGTTTAATATAATAATATTATGTTATGTGTGTGGAGTGTGTGCTACATTAAATACATATGTTCAAATATACTCTAGAGTCTAGAGGCTGCAMAACTATCATTTTTTTTTTATATACAAAAAAATAATCTCTGCATTATGAGTGTAAAACAACATACAGTCTACATTCATATAATTAATTGTTGTCCATACTCAATATTATTAACGTAAATTTTTGTTGATATCGCTTATAATGAAAAAAAAGTTAAAACATTTAAAAAAATGCTATTATGTTATATTTTTTTTTGTTTTGGTAAAGTTTAATTAATTTGTGAAACGCCCGTCAATTTAATAGTGTACATGCATTCTTATAGTATATCTACCCCAAACATTGCTAGTATATAACACATCTTAATAAACAGTTATTTTTTTCAATACAAATACGAATTGATTTTTTTTTAATTTTAACATTTAAGATTAAACTATATTGTTAAAAAAATTCTATTCAACATTTGAACAATGCATCATATCTTCAGTTAAATATATTTCAGGCCAACGATTTAATCATATTTCAGTGTGTTTTCTTATTTAAAAATAAATAAATACAAACGCAACGCATGTACACTTTACATACGCACTCGTATAATAAATATATATTTATTATTTATATTTTATATATACAAACCTAGCCCATTACAATATTCCATACAATATTATTTAAAAACATAAGTTTRGAATTGAATTTTGTTTCTATGAAGGAAAAATATAAAATGAAAACATGGTGTGTATTGATTTTGCAAGATTTACTTATTCAAACAATAATATGCAGAATGCAAAAGTACTTTAGCAAGCATTGTTGGGTGAATCAAAAYTCAAAAATATTATTGTTTGTGCAGTAGTCTATAATATAAATAGATGGCGAACGTGTATCTGAGATTTTAGCTTCTATTCGGTTGATATTTACTGATAGATACGTGTCGATGGTTGGAGGAGAAATACAAATGGAAAATAAGAATTGGAAAATAACAGGTGAAATGTTTTTTTCACCCTTTATTATTTCGTCAAGCAATTTTTTCCCGAAAACGTATTGGCCGTTACCAAGACCCAGTTGAATTCTTTGCACGYGTGTTTCGATGTGAACGTCACCTAAAAGCCTTTGGTCCACAAAGGACCATTGATATAATAATATATTATTTCCCTGCTACATTTACCACCRGCACCTTTGATAGTTGTGGCTAACAAGAAATTGTACCCCCAAAGGCTTGCTCGTTCTAACAAAAATCTTTTTTGCGTTCTTCGGCATTCTTTTTTTTTATTGCACTTACAAAGGACATCCTACTATTCGTACAAGCACGGTATAACTACTTTATCCAACTTATCAATAAGAACTATAAAGGATTAAGCYKAATTGCCCTAATCTTAGATATATCTATAAATTCTCCGAACACGTATACGTWTCGTTATTTACCGACCAAATTAYATACAAATGTGTATAAAGACTATTAAATTATYATTTAATTGAATGAAAATTATATTAAGTRCATAGCTGGTGAAACCCACRGTTGAATGGTATCGCTTTAATGACTGCAGACTTCTCATATTATGTTTATACATAATACATACATATACATGCTTATCAATAGATATTGATATGACTGTGCTTACTTTAAATCGACTCAACGACATTGGAACTAATCGAAAATAAATTTGCCCCATATTMTGACGTGTAAGCCCGTATTAAATTCAAACGGATGTGATTTTAAAATTCATATTGCAATTGCTATTGGTTAGGTATAGTGTTTTGGAGGTGGTCGGTTTCACGGCGGAAGCCGCGGCAGGACGTTCATTTAASTTTGTTGATTCTTAACGGAACGGCAATAATTCATTTTAAAATTTATAACCTACACTAATATCGGAAAGGGAAAAAAATGGGCTCTTAATGCATTATATGGATACGAGATTTCCGTACGTGACGGCAATATTCCTCGTCGGACTAACCGTCTGTGTATCACTGCAGCAGTCTGTATAATATACATTACCTACAGTGTATTATATACATACCGTAACGGAACAAAAACGAAGGAAAATATGGGCGGCCACGCATTTCCCCCTGTAACAAACATCATCTACCCCTTGCCGACAAACACGCCGTGGTTCGCAATATTCTACTACCGAACAACCAACTGAAATTCCGATTAATCACGCTGGACACGTTTCACCATGCGGTGTACACTACTCCGAGTTCCAAAGTTTCAGCAAACGCCAAAATAATAACCAGTATTCGACCCCTAACAGTTACCTGGGGTTAGGGTTTTTTTTCTCCCTCGCTCGGCTCGGTGCATATATATCTGATACAGACAAATCCTTAACGGATTATAATGTAGCCAGTGTTGGCTTGTATAATCGGATGTTGAAAAGGGTCAGCTGGTCGAATAGGTACAAAATATACTATTGAAAGTAATAATTGTGATGATCTGGCTAATTGACTGTGAATAATTCCAATGATAAAAAAAAAAAAAATATATCACTATTCGTTTAAATAATCATAATTTTATTATTAGTTTGTGTTGAATCCAATGAAATTATATTAAGTTGAAGAATGTGTGAGAAATTGTAATCGTATGTATGTAGTAGTTTAATGTACCTAGATATTCTAACCAATAGCTCACTGAGTTTTCGAAATCAAATAACATACTCGAGTAAAATAAATAAAAATATATGATTACACCTAAAAAATATTCTAATAAATATCAAAGAGTTTTAGTAATATTAGTTAAAATGGTCGGTTTAATTAAAATTAAAAAATACATAGTATTAATATTATTGTGACTAATCAAAGTATTGAGATTATAATAGTAGGAAATATGTTAAGAAAATAATTCCTTTTTAATACCTAAATACCAGATAATATATAATAACATAATACTTTCATCATAC